CCACAACACGGACTCTCCCGACTACCTCTTTCTCAATACCTCCACCAATTAGCTCATTCACACCCGCGATGTTGCATTTGACGAGTGTTGCCCTTTTTACCTCTCCTCACCACCCATCACTGCTCCACCTTCGCTTGTGTGGGCCGATTTCGACACTTCACCCTCTCCACCTCTTCCCTCTGCCGCTGCTCCTTTAGCCCCCTCACTCTCGCCTCCTCCATCTCTTTCCACTCTCTCTCACCCCCCTTCCCCCACCAGTTCTGCTGCCCCTTCACCTCCGCCCGCACCTGCACATGCTCCTGCCGCTGCCCTTCCCCCTCCCTCTCCTTCTGCACCTCCCCCTGTGCCTACCCCTCCATCTCCACCTTCACCTCCGCTTCTGCCTCCAACCTCCACCTCTTCTCCCGATTCCCCCGTCACCTATCGTCGCCGCCGCCAAGGACGCTCTTATGTCGACGTTCCACCTCCCCTCTCGCCTCCTCCCTCCTCTCCTGTCCCTGTTGCTCACCGCACCCACTCTCATGGTCCCACTCCGCCTCTCGCCCTTTCTGTTCGCATCTCCCTCAATCCGCCTCCTCCTACCGGGGGTGCATCCATGCCTGGCCTCTTGGAGGATAGGCATGAGGAGCTGATTGAGATCAATGCTGCCATCCGTTAGCTCTGCTATCTCTTCCCCGACCTTGCTGACGCTCCAACTCTCAACTTCTCGGAAAATCCATCCATCCCGACCCCAAATTCGTACGATGAAGCCACCTCTGGACCTCACTTCCCTCAGTGACTTGCAGCCATGATCGCGGAGTGTGAAGAATTCATTCGTAACAACTCTTTCACGGATGTCTCTCCTCCACGAGGAGTCAACATTGTCCGTGGCAAATGGGGTTTTCATATCAAGCGGCTGCCTGGCGAACTCCTAGTCTTCAAGGCGTGATACTGTGCAAAGGCTTCACTCATAAAAAGGGGTTGGACTTCTTTGACACGTTCTCTCCGACGGCCAAATTGCCCACTCTACGGACCCTGTTGGACATCGCTGCTCGATGCAACTTTGACGTCCACTCAATGGACATCTCTACTGCATTTCTCCAAGGGGATCTCCCCGAGGACATCTACATGGAATGTCCTCAAGGATTTCCCTTGCCCTTTCCACCCGGCATGGTCTGGAATCTAAATCGACCAGTCCACGGGTTGAAGCAGGCTCCTCGAGAATGGCACAATAAGCTGAAGGCAACCCTCGAGTCACTCGACTTCCACCCTTCCTCCGCCGATCCGAGTCTCCTCATTCGGAAGAACACGAACCCGTTCTTCATTCTCGTCTACGTCGACGATATGATTATCGTCTCCAAGGACTCCGATCAGCTGGCAGCTGTCAAGCAAGCACTTGGGGATGCTCTCGCCATGAAGGACCTCGGCGAACTCAAGAACTACCTTGGGATGGAAATCTCGAGGGATCGCGAAGCTCACACCATCACTCTCTCCCAAGAGTTCTATGTGAACAACGTCCTCAAGCGCTTTGCCACAGACAATGCCAAACCAGTGGCCACTCCCCTTCCCCTGCAGCATGATCTGACCGCTCCATCAGTTCCATCGCCTGAGCCTTGCAATGAGGCATATCCCGAGCTTGTCGGATCCCTCATGTATGCGATGATGTGCACAAGGCCCGATCTCGCCTACCCATCAGTGTGCTCTCGCGTTACGTTGCTGCCGGTCGATACACCAATCACCACTGGTCGGCTGCTAAGCGTGTTCTTCGCTACCTTCAAGCCACAAAAGACTACGTCCTCACTCTCTGACTGCAACCTCGTCGATAGTGATCACGACGTCGTGATCACTATCGTCTACTTCGTACCATGGGACTTGGCTTCCCTACGACGTCCGACGTTGTAGCCTAGGGGATGTGTTGGAGATAGCCTGCAATTCGGTTGGCACAACTTTCGTGTTAGGAATTTATTGGTTTTAGGGTTAGGCATATTTGTAAGGTTGGATGTAGCTTTGTTTTCATCCCCAACCTATCCCAACCCAATCCATCCCAAATCCCCCCGATTTGGGAGGATTCCCTTGGGATTCCCTCCAATTCTCCGTTATCCCTTCCCATCCTCTCTGATGCTCGGTACTTAAGGATGGTATTCTTGCTCATTCAATCAATCAAGTTCTCAGTTTCTGGTAGGCTAACCCCTCTCACTTTGTTCGCAGGGGTCAGACCCCGTTCTACATCTTAGTGTACGTAGACGGTCTCATCTTTGCTACTCCTGACAAAGTCGCACTGGCCTCAGTGAAGGCCCATTTGCTTAGGAGGCATGCATGTACAGACGTGGGGGAACTGAGGCGCTATCTGGGCTTGGAGATCTCCCTTAATCGTGTCGCTCGTACGATCACACACTCCTAGTCCCATATGGTGCAGCAGATCCTCCAGAGGTTGAGTCTCCAATTCTCCTCAGTACAGCCCACCCCTCTGCCTGTAGATCAAAAGCTCTGCTCCTGTTCCGTCGAAGTCAGTCAAGCCTAGTGGTCCATACACAGAGCTGGTGGGGTGCCTCATGTGCCTGATGACCTAAACTTTACCAGATGTAGCGTACCCTCTCAGTCTCCTGGTTCGCTTTGTTGCGACAGGCAGGCACCGACCAGTCCACTGGTCGGCTGCCTAGATGGTACTGCTATATCTGGCGAGTACGTCAGTACTGGGACTTGTGCTAGGAGGACAGGAGCCAGTGGTGCTCATTGGACACACAGACGCGTCATGGGCAGATGATTTTGAGACGCTCAGGTCTTCTCAGGGCTACTGTTTTAGTATTAGTGTTGGTGCAGTCTCGTGGAGGTCCACTAAGCCCTTGTCTGTAGCCCAGTCCAGTTGTGAGTCAGAGATCTACGCTGGGGCCATGGCCGGTTAGGAGCTCCGCTGGCTGAAGTTCTTGCTCACTGACTTAGGTGAGCAGCCTAGGTCTGCCCTGGTCCTGTTTGCTGACAACAGGGCCATGATCCTCCTATATCAGAAGCCTTGACTTGAGGGCAGGGCAAAGCACATCCAGCTACGGTACTTCCTGCTGCGTGAGTTACAGTAGCGCGGTCAGGCTCGTATAGTACAGTTGGCATCAAAGGCCAACACCGCTGATACATTACCTTCACCAAGGCACTTGCGTGTCGTGACCATCAACGTTTCTGTACTCAGCTTGGTCTAGCCTCCGTAGCAGCACTGCTCCTTGTATCATGAGTCAAACTATACCTGCTTGTACTTACTTTGCTATACCTGCATGTCTTGTTACTTTTGTTGACTGGCCTTGTGGCCTCTTGTCTCAGTTGTTAGACTAGTAGTGCTGCCTTGAGGTGTCTTGCTACCTTCACCAGAAGCCATACTATTAATGTGGCCCTGGTTTGATAAACTGGGCCTCTACCTAGGCTAGGGGGTGTCTCAACAAACATATATTATATATACACATTTATATAGGTTTGTTATAAGCTATTTAGATCAGTTCTTCAAAGGGACAATATTTGTACTTATTTCTCCCCTCCCCTATTCCTAGTCACACTTTTTCCCGCTCCTCTAACATTTCCTTGCCTGACCGCCCTAGCTAGGCAATGTTTGCCCTATCTCCAAGCACCTTGATGTGGTGCATTGTTATATTAGGGTTAGTATAGAGCCTTATGTTCCGTGATGTTAGGGTCGTTTGCCCCTGGTGTTGGGGTCCGGCATTGGGGGGCGGGCGGTTAAGACCAAGCCCGCAAGCAGAAACAAACTATAACCCTAGGGGGACTCGCATGCATTCGGGGATGGCATCAACCCTAAACAAGGTGACTCGTCCGCATGTTTAGGGTTGACCCCTTTGCTCCCCCTCCCCCCCCTCATGCCGGGCCACAGTGGTTTTTTTTTTCCTGCCCATTCGTGCCAAGCCGCTCCCGAGCACCTCGTCCCTTCCCTCTGTGTACTCTCGACCGTAAGAATTGCCCCCTCAACATGCGTTTTTAGGGTTGGACAATGCTCGATCGGCACGGGTCGACTGGCAGAAATACCCGACCCATGCGGATCGGATGGCGAAACTTCTGATCCGTCTGAATCTATAGGCAAATCTGCAGTTGAAACGCCACGGGTTTACGGAGCCTGAGTATGGGCCCACGGCGGCTTGTCCTATTCAAACAGGCCTCGAGACTGGGAGGTGGCTGGCCCGGCCCGTCCTGGCCCAGCCGGAGCCTAGCTAGGCCTAGTGATGGGTTGGGCTAGACGAGCTAGCCCGGTCCGAGCCCAGCCTACTGCTCAGGCCTATGCTAGAGGTAAAGCTTGCAGCGCATGTTGGATTATCAAGCGTCATACCGCAGCTGTGATTATCTACGGTTTATACAATCAGTTTGCCAGTGGCTCGAAATCGGTGGTTGTCAATTTTCCGTTCCAATAGATGGAATAGGAGCCGTTGAATCTTCTTCAGGTTCACTGGCCGAGTTCTTGGTTCGATGGAAGGGCAGGACAGCAACAGAGCACCTTTGGATGCCTCTAGAGGATGTTTAAAATTCCCCACTCCTGCAGGTGTATTTGCAGGATCACCATCTGCATATGTGGGTGCATTCTCGTAGAGGGCCTTATTAGGACGGGAGTGGTATAAGGAAAATAGTTTTTGGCACTGTGCATCCTGCGCACTAGCGCGTACAATAGTTGTTTTCGGTCCTGTCTGGTTACCGCTTGTTCGCCCGTTGCATATCTCGTCGACCCGGTCCTCTTCAGCACTGCTGCCGAGTCACTCGCCTTATGAGCTCGTGTCTCAAGATCCGACCTCGAGTTTCAGATGAATCTCTTGCCACTGTCACTAGACGTAACGCGTAGCGAAGTTAGGGGGTACGACGGGAAGCCTTGACATGTCGGTTACCGAAGTCAAACTGTTGTGTACCGTTCGAAAAGCGCTAGTAACGTACTGCACCGTAGTCTGTATGTGACTCTCATGAATTTTGCCAGACTGATTCTTGGTTCACGTTTCGCAACCGTTTATCCTCGCTACACCCCAAGCGCGGACCCGAACATACAAATTTATTTTGTGCATGCCGTCCCGTTCCCATCATCATAGAGCACATTAGTTCGTATTCTATGATCGTAGCAGTTGACGTCTTTTCCTGCCTCTGTTGCCGCAGCGCACGTTAGCATTCTCCAGACGTAGCAGGCGTGCCCTACCGGTTCCCGAGAAGCTCGGATCGGATGCCCGTGGTGGATTGTCCGGGCAAGCCCTCGATTTCAGTTCCGTGGTAAGTCCCATACCCCGACACCCCATTTGGTTATGACCATCAATAAAACCCATACCCCGACACCCCGACCTCCCGAATTCTCGGGCGTGGAGCACGCGGAGATCGGGGACGCTACACGGCGGCTGACGATTCGGTAGTGACGGCTGACTAGGAGAGTGACCGTTGCGAGAGTCAAGTAGCGACCACGTGGGGAGCGTTAGCGTTGCGTTAAGGTTGTGTGAGGGTTGCTTGAGGGGAGCAGGGTGGTGGGAGTGACGCCATGGAAAGAAGGCGGCAGGCTTGCGGATCCCCTCCTGGTTTTCTCGTTTTTTGTGGTTTAGCCCGCCAGCGCCAGCTCGGAGCTTCCGAGTCGAATGAAAAGTCACCGCGATGGCAGGAGGCAGGCTTGCGGATTTCCTCGTTTGCTCGTTACGCTCGCGAGCGCCTTTCGAGAAGTCGTTGTTTCGTTGCAGCGGCGGTTATCAATGGTGCCTTTTGCACGAGCGATGCCTAAGCCCACGAGGAGGCTTGACCCGTACAGCAGTAAGCGGATTGGCCTGTAGACCCTAATCCGGTCCCACTTGCGAAACCGGCGAGAAGGACCCTTCCCATTAGCGGTTTCGGCCGTAGACCCTACTAATGCGGGGCCCTCTAGCGGTTCGTGTTTAGGTCATCTCAGCCCTTGGGCCCCCTCACACCGAGTCCAGGCTTCTGTTCTCCTCGGCGTCTGCCGGCATCAGCTCATCGCCATGTCCTCCCACCATCTTCACATCTCTCCCTTGTCTTCACCCTCCCTTACGCCTCACACAGCGCCCAGGCTTCTGTTCTCCTCGGCACCAGCTTGCATCAGCTCATCGCCATGGGTTTCCACCGTCTCCACATCGTTCCCTTCTCTTTGCCCTCCCTTACCCCTCACACCGAGTCCAGGCTTCTGTTCTCCTCGGCGTCAGCTTACATCAGCTCATCGCCATGACTTCCCACCGTCTTCACATCTCTCCGTTCTCTTCTCTTCACCCTCCCTCACCCCTCACACCGCGCCCAGGCCTCTGTTCTCCTGGGATCAGCCTGCATCGGCTCATCACCATGACTTCCCACTGTCTTTACATCTCTCTTGTCTCTTTACCCTCCCTTTCCCCTCACTTCATCAGCTCATCGCCATGGGTTTCCACCATCTTCACATCTCTCCCTTGTCTTCACCCTCCCTTACCCCTGACACCGCGCCCAGGCTTCTGTCCTCCTGGGCGCCAGTTTGCATCAGCTTATCGCCATGACTACCCGCCATCTTCACATCGTTTCTTCCCCCTCCCTCACATCGTTCCCTTCTCCGTACCCCTCCCCACCAGCCCACCAGCCCATCGCGATGACTCGGGCACGGAAGCATGTGAAGGCGAGTGTGCTGGCGACCTGTGCTTAGCGCGTCTACCCCTTCTCTTCTTTACCCCCCTTCAGCGCGCACCACCTGGCATCCGCCCATCGCGATGACACGAGCGCGGAAGCATGTGAAGGCGAGTGCGCTGGGCGAGCCTGTGAGCGTGGGTGAGGGCGAGCAGATCCTGCGAGTCGTGGCGCCCAGAGGCAGCAACCTCATCGAGGTGGGCTGTTGTGTTGTGGCTTTTGATGTTAAATCCCTGCTCTCAGACGCAGGAACCTCATTGGGGTGAGATGAGGATTTTGATTTTCACTGTGTGCAGCAACCCTTGCTCCCAAGGGCAGCCACCTCATAGGGGTGAGCGAATGTGGTGCTGGTACACCGTACACACACTGTATGGCTCCAAGGGGATGATCACTGTTCCCATGGGCAACAACCTCATAGGGGTGAGACGGGGGGGGTTTGATGTTACAGTGTGTAAAACAACGCTGCTCCTAGGGGAAACAACTTTGATGGATGTGATTTGTGAACTACACCTTTCATTGCGTAAAACAATGCAGAAATATTCTCACAATGCATTGAATATCCTGTTAAAGCCTCTTTTTCATGCTCCCCCCCCTCTGCTCTCTCCCCGCTGCTCTTCCCGCTGGTCTCTCCCTGCTGCTCCCCCCTCTGATCTCTCCCCGCTGCTCCCCCCGCTGCTTCCCCCGCTGCTCTCTCTCCCCTCCCACCCCTGCAGCTGGAGGACGGTAGGGGCACGTCCATGCTATGCATGCTGCCAGCCAAGTTCCACCGCATGCTGTGGCTCAAGAGAGGTGGGAGTGGGTCCAGATAGGTGGGAGTGGGTCAAGTAGGTGGGAGTGGCTCAGAGAGGTGGGATTGGGTCAAGAGAGGTGGGTGGGAATGGTGGTTTACTGTTTCGCTTTCCTGTAATCACTCAAGAGAGAGGTGGGTGTGGTGTGTGGTGGTATGTCGAGCTCAAGGGAGGTGGGTGTGGTAGCTCTCGTTCAAGTTCATTGACAGAAAAGCATGCTCAACCACGATCCCGCTCCCGCTCTCCTATTTTATGGGTCCCAAATTCAGCTGACTGTGCTGATTTTTATTCTCCCATCCTCCCTTGTATTTCATCATCGCCGGTTTGTCCCATCTCGTCATCCCCCTTCCCTTCAGGCAGTTTTGTGGTGGCAGACGTGAGTGCAGCAGAGGAGGTGGATAAGGCGGGCGGGAGAGTGAGAGGCAGCATAACAGCCGTGATCTTTGACCACCACATCAAAGAACTTATAGCCTCTAATCAGTGGTTAGTACAGAGTTACCTTCACCTCTAGTATTCCCACTGTTCGTCCTTATGTACTTCATGTGCCATCTGCAAATGAATAATGTCCTTATTGGTTCACTAAAAACGCCCCCCGTTTTCCATCCTTCCCTCTGCCTGTACCCAACATTCCAATGAATGACAGGCCTGAGGCATTCGCAGAAGCAACAGCAAAAGACAGAGCTACCACAGCCACGTCAGCACTGTTGGAGCAAAGCCAACTGCAGGGGCAGCAGGAGCAGCATCAGCAAGGTGGAGAGCTCGCCTCAACCAGAGGGGAAGGGGATGTTTTGCCAAGCTCCCAAGGCACTGCAGAGGAGGGAGCAGAGGAGCAGAGGCGAAGTACGGCAAGAGTCGATGGGCATGTGAACCAGGAGGGAGAGGTGGAGGAAGAGGAGGGTGAAGATGAGGATGATGGATTGCCTCCTTTGGAGAGGAATCCGAACCACCGATCGATGTTTGTTGAGGATGTATCAGATGACGATAGTGAGGACGAGGAGTAATCCATGTCCAAACCTTCTAGTCTAGTGTCATTGTCTTTCCACATCCCTCTGAAGTTGGAAAAGCGAAAGAGGAACGATAGTTTCAAAGGGGGCTACGGCAATCCGAAAACATGAGCAATAGATGGTATAAGGGTGGAAATAGGACAGGTCGGGTTTTGCCCCTTCGCAGTCCGTGCTTGTAGGCCTTGCCCTCTGATCTAGATTTTTTGTTACCATATGAATGCTAAGGTTGAAATAGCTAAGGTTGAATTCGTGAGTTCCCAGCATTCAATCGGATGGAACTCAGCTTCTGCGATAGGGAGTACAGATTCAGTTTCTTCACCACCTTCTCGTCAATCCCTAGAGCAATGACAGGCCGCCACTTAGGGGGTGTGTAAAGTGGGAATGGAGGCTCCGCCCCATTCCCACACTCCGATTTATATGCCCGCCTGAAATTGTAGGCCAATCAGATGCACGAAATCTGCGTGTTAAAAAAATGTAGATTCGCGCAAAACATTTTGTGCAAACACCTTCACGCACGATGGAAAACATTTGGCCGCTCGTTGTGCATGTACCAGAACAACTCTGCGCGAAAGGGCAAACGCGTTTCGCCAATCTCAACGCAGCTGCGAAGTGGCCAGCTCGGCCAGCACGGAATGAATGCGCCTCGCGCGGGCGAATTTTGCGAAAATTTCCGTCGTTAGTTACAGAGTCGAACGTCAAAATTGAAAGTTTCAGCTGCATGGGTTTCCTGCGGGCGTAGCGTAGTCTCCAAGCTTTTGTTGCTTCGGGAAACAAACCGAACGGGCAGAAAATACGGAGTTTGGGAACGGAGCGGAGCCTCCGTTCCCACTTAACACACCCCTTATTTGAGCCACGAGGGCCCAGAACCAGCCGCCATTCATCCCATCATCCCATATCCTGGTTCGCGAATCCATCTCCAAATTGGTCTCATGGACTTGTGTAGCGAGCGTTTGACGAAACCATTCGTCAATGACTACGGGTAGACGCGGTGGTAACAGCTTGTCGCAGCCCTGTCCGTTTGAGACGGAGAAAAAGGGCGGGAATCGGGTGAGGCGCCTCGAAATCGCACGAAACTGGAAATCCAGCTAGAGCCGCCTCGGGAATCCCGCACATGGCGATGTCATCCCTTCATCCCCGCGGATTTCGTCTGACGCGGCGTGCCACCACTGTGGCCACCGAGGCACACCGACTTCGAAACCCCAACTCTCAGTTAGCGAAGGTACGAAACACTAACACGGGCAGCATGGATTTGTTGACGTGGCTGGCCAATTCCCCGTGGTTTTTCTGCCCAGAATTTCCGGTAATCCCGTTCCTGCCCTAACCGAAATTCTTGTTCAGATTTCCACACCCACAGCCTCTCTCCCCTCTATGGGCTCTCTCCACAACCACTCCTCTCCCCTCGACTCCTCTAGCTCTAAACGCGTACATAATCCGAGTAGATCATTACATTTTCTTCACCAGTTTCTTGCTCTGCAGTAGTTCCGCTCTCTCCATCACTCTCTCGTTTCGTAGTCCTGAGCTCACGCGTTTACTCTCATCAGACGCTCTTTAACCTGCTCTAGAGACCTTCTCCAGCAGCTCTTTAAACTGCGTCGTAGTAACAGCCGTCTCACGTCGTCACCAGCACTTACGATGGCGACAAACTCGGCGCTGAACGTCAACCAGACCGCCATCTACGACCGACGACCGAACTCCGACACCAGGAGGCTCCGTACGACCACGCAAGGCTTCAGTGCGTTCTTCGCTGCGTTAAAGATTGGTAGATTCGAAAAGGACGCCAAGGACCCGCAGGGCAGGTCCTTCCGTCGGCCACTTGGATTCTCTCCCCTGCGTCCAGCGGCTGTGAGTCCAGCAAAGAAGGCTGCTGCTCAAGTCGCTAGCGAGCTGCCACAGAAGCAACAACAGACGACAATACAGCAGAAGGTCAAGCAACGGTCTCAAAAAATGGTTTCGCTGTCTGCGATTTCAAGCATGCCTTCAAGAATCCCAAAGCCTGTGAGCTCAAGAACGGCTTTAATGGTTCCTGAGGCGAGATCTACCAGCAGCAGCAGGGGAATAAGAGGACTGATGCTGAAGGCTCTGTTGCAGAGAAGGGGTCTTCAAAGTTGCTGCAAATGAAGCTGATGTTTGAAGTTTCCAGAATGACCCAGACGAGAATTCCGGTTCATGTTGCTGCTGTTGCTGCGTGATTGAAGAACTGCGGATTTCATATGCGCAGCAGAAGCTTCTGTTAGCTTATTTATTGTAGAGTTCAACTGGTTGTTGAAACTAGGTTTTGGTCCCTTGTACTATAAGTTACAATAATGCATGTGTGCTGTTCCTATGTTGAATCGTGTATGATGACTACCATTACTTGCAGGCTATACCACTGAAGCAAGCCTTTGATTATCAACTATGCCCTTTCCATCTCCCCCTCTCCCCTCTCTCCATGTATCTTCTCTTTGACTCTCTTCTCCAGACTGTCTGAACCCACTCCCTCTCACTACTTTTGATTTTTATGTAGCCATCTTCCTTCCTTCGTTTTTCTCTCCCAGCTTCCTCTCTCCTTGTGTGCTCCTCTGCCTCTTCCCCGCCCACCGCTCCACTCTCTCGCTCATACCCTCGCCCTGCTGTCAATCATGTCCTTGCTGTTTTTCCCTGCCAAGATCACCACCCTCCCCCTTTCCCCAAACGTACCCCCTCCCTTTTTCAACCCAGTTCGCCTTCATCATTTCTCAACCTTGCCTCTTCTCTAGCCTGTTTGCTGTCTCATCCTGCTCTCACTTCTCCCTATTTTGGCCTTGTCTTGCCACTCACCCTTCTCCTGACCCACTCAAGTCAAGCAGGTGTTGTATTGTAATGAAGGGGCCAAGGCTGGTTCGCAGTTTCTCATCTCCCAGCACCTATTTCTTTCTTCATCTCTGTTGTTTCTGACACCTTGCTTGTTTGATTTCCCTCCATTATCTCACCTTCTCTTTCATTCTTCCTTGCTGACCCGAAAGTGAATGACCCGGAGCTGACCACGTCTGTGGCATCTCCCTTCTGTACCTTTCAGGACACCTCGAAGTGACATTCGGGCAACGTGTGGGTCAGATGCTAAACTCCCTCACCAAGAAGTGACCTGCAACCTGACTCGGGATTGACACCGACCCCGAAGTCACCTGTGGGCTCATCATATACTGCAGACTCGGGTTCAATACCCACCGGCATCAAATGTCCCAGATGGGGCATCGCAATAAATCACCTTTTCTCATCGCAAATAGATTTTTTGTATCATCACTTCGTAGGAAAGGCAGTCATGGGAAAATTTGTTAGAAAGATGTTGGGCTGATAAAAGCCCTTGGGATCTTTTTCAGAGACTAAGTCCCAGCTGTAGAGACTTGAGACCTTGAGTAGTGCAGCGGAAGTTTGAGACAGTTGAACCCTTGTACTAGTATGTGAGAACAAGTGATTGATTAAAGAAACAAGCATACAGCAATATATAGAAGATAAGAAAGCAGTTGTAGAGTACCGTTACAGGAACGGTTTATCGAGTCGCACAGCGACTCGATTGCCGCTTCGGTTACCATCCGTGATGTTGTAACGGTCAGTCGCAACCTCCAGTTGTGACCTTTCGAGTCTTTTCGCATTCTTTGTCCGTCCCCTCATGTAACCTCCGTTGACTCGCGTGCTCCCCTGTAGTCTTCCTCGAGTGCAGTGTTACACTTCAGAAACGCTTAAGTCCTTTGAGATATTTCCAACACTCCCCTTCGTTTCTGGAGTGTTGACGTGTTCGGGTCCGGTGACGTTTGTTTGCCCGGTCAGGAGCATGCAGTAGTCGAATTTTGCTTTCGCCAATTTCTTCGTCAGATAATCTGCGGCCATTTCTGTCGTCGGGCAGTAACTGAGTTGAAGTCTCCCCTTCGCGATTTCATCCTTGACGAAGAAGTACCGCAGGGCGATTGTCAACTTATACATATTATCTATGTAGAAGTTATAGGCTAGACTGAGGTATGCTTCTAGTGAGTACAACCAACTAGTATTTGTTCTAGGTTTCCACCTCTAGTAATCATTCGTTTCTACGTTAACATGGTATCACGCTTAGGTTAGGATCCCCCCGCCTACCGCTTCCGCCCGTCGCGCCTCCTAGGCCCCGTCGCGCCCCCTAGGCCCCGTCGCGCCCCCCCTGGGCCCCGTCGCGCTCGTTAGGCCCCGTCGCGCCCCCCCTGGGCCCCGTCGCGCCCGTTAGGCCCCGTCGCGGCCCCCCTGGGCCCCGTCGTGCCCGCTGGTCCCCGTCGCGCCTCCTCGGCCCCGTCGCGCCCCCCCTGGGCCCCGTCGTGCCCGCTGGGCCCCGTCGCGCCCCTTAGGCCCCGTCGCGCCCGCTGGCCCCTGTCGCGCCTGCTGTTAGCGCTCGCCCGCCTGGCCTTTTCCTAGTGCCGCTCGGCCTCCTCCTAGTGCCGCCCGGCCTCCTCCTAGTGCCGCCCGGCCCCTTCCTAGCGCCGCCCGGCCTCTCCTCAGCGCTGCCCGGCCCCTCCTCGTGCCCGACCGGCCCCAGCAGCACCAGCCTGGCCCCTCCCAGCACCAGCCCGGCCCCAGAGCACCTGCCCGCCTCCCCTGCTCGGCCTGCCGTGTCCTCTCGGGCCCTGTGTCTTCTGCTTGCCTGCGCTGGGACGCCTAGCTGCTGCCCTACTGGAGAGTGCTGCCGCCGTGTCCCCGCGCCGCTGTGCTCCTGTGCCGCTGAGGAGCTGTGCTGCTGTGCCGCTGTGTCGCTGAGGAGCTGTGCCGCTGACCCTGCACGATGGCTGACTTTGTGCTCCGCCTGGACGCTGAGGGCCACGCGGTTGACTTCGCCGCCTGGCTCTCCGATCTTCGCCGCCAGCTTACAGGTCAGCGCCAGGATGGCCACTCTCTGGTTGTCCATGCTGATGGCTTGCTCCCCCGTCCCCCTGCACCTACTCCCCTCCCTGCTGACCCCTCCTCTGATGACCGTGAGGCTTTCTCTACTGCTGCGCTGGCCTGTGCGATCTGGGACTCACGCGATGCAGTAGCTCAGGTTGCTATTAGTCACGCCCTCCCTGTGTCTGAGCGCTCGCGTTTTGCTACTGTTGAAACGGCCAAAGCTTATTTAGACGCCGTTATTGCTCGCTATTCCACCCCTGCCTCCGCTTCTGCTGGCCGCTTGCTCTTTCCGATGCTGTTCCCAGACCTGGCTGCCTTCCCTACTGTCGCAGATTTTGCCACTCATTTGCGTGCCCTAGAGACTCGCTATCG